TAAGACAGACAAATTCATATACTTACTGCCAATTGGATTTAAATTAATACTATTCTGGAGTACAATTTTGGACTTAATTGTACATACTTAATAATGCCACTTCCACATATAGTGTATGTAAAGATATAACTATAAGAATGTTCATTGTGAGGCTTTTTATAACAGAAAAAAAAAGGGAATAACTTAAATGTCCAGCAGTAGAGATATAGTTAACCAAATGTGGTATATTTATATAAAAAGAAGAGTATGTGGCCATTAAAAATCATGTTTTCAATATCATGTTTCAGAGTTTAATGACATGGAAAATTTCAACAATAAAATATTAAATGAAAAATTATAACACCAAGTTGTATATGTAGCTTGAGCTCAACATATATATATATTTTTCTTTTAAAAAGACACTGTTGTAGTAAGAGTGAAAAGAATGACTGGCCAACTTATACAGGAATTGGCTGTCTTCCACCAAGAGATTAAGCCTAAACCTAATTCAGCTGCCACCTTCTAGTCATTTCTAATGAGAGAGATGTCGTATCGATTCAGGATCTCTAAAATCACAGGAGAAAAAAAAAACAAGCAATCATGGGACAAAAGGGAAAACATTTTAAGTTCATATGAGATATCAGTATAACAATCTAAAATAAATTCTTTCATCAGTGTTTAGAATGCAGTTACTCAATAGTCATTTCCTGAAGCAATCTAAAATTTTCTTGGTTTTCTTAGCCTAAAGTCCATAAATCCAGTCCCGTTAGTTCAGTTTGCTGGAAACAACGTCTACCCATTGATGGTCAGTCTGCCACACCTTCACTTTTGAAGAGCTTTGGAAATTACAGAGGGTTTCTTTTACTTTGTTTTCTAGCCAACTAATTTGCATTAAAATTGGATTTTCTGTAACACAATGTACAGTATATACCAGGCACACTTACTGTATGTTACCTTGCTGGGAGAGTATTGTGCATTGTGTTAGGTCAATATTGATACATCTACATCCCTATGAAACACTAGGAAGGAAACAGTTCTTTCATAGACAACAGATGGACACCTAACCTGGGTGGAAATGAATAATGGACATGGCCTTTTTATCCGTTTTTCAGTTTCAACCTGACCTGCTCATGCACTATACAAGATGCCTTGTACCTTTGGCATACACTCACTTTTGTTAGAGGATTAATTGCACATTCCCAAGTTACATACCACAGGCTTGAGTCCTTTGATCTCACATAACATTTTGTTTAAACCTTATCTATGATATGCTTATTGCTCAGTTATTTCACTTGATAAAGCTTTCAGTAAGAAGGAAATTAGTGGTATAGATTTAGCTATGGACCTGAAACTGTGACATTCAGTTATTTCATGGACGATGTGCTTTGTATACAGTTGCCGAAGATATGATGGCATGAATGAATTTTAGAGCAATGCAATAATGGGTTTAATTTATTCACTGTAGGACTTAGGTGGGAAGATTTTGAGATGAATGTCAAATCAATTTGTGCTCAGAAAAAGCATAAAGCTTCTTGCTCTTAAGACAGTGGGAAAACTTTGACATTGGTTTGAGCTGGTTAATCTGACATTCAGAATATGTGGAAACCGTTAAAGCTGGGCCATGTATTTATATTCTCTTTTGATGACAGATTAGAATATTGTTTTAATTTTAGCAATCCTTCTCCCATAGAATGCATACTTTCATATAACTATGTGCCTCTTTTCAACTTTATAACCAGGTCAACCTCTGTAATAGCAGAATCTTTTCACCTTCATATGGGGCATATTTTAAAGACAAGCCTTTTGGTGACTAAAGAGAATCTGTTAGGGTATGCATACCCAATTGTGGTGGATTTGGAAGGTCCATCTTAGGACTAACATCTCAGGCTTTACTACTGCATCAGTCCTTGTGTTTGCAAGCAATAGAATCTCTTAATGAATTCCTAGACCATAACGATATACTAGAATCTCTAGGCTTTCTTATTCACCATGTTACCTCATATATTACTAAAATGGTGGCAGAAGATTATGACAAATCATGTCTCCCCATCTTCTAATGAAATGTGTTTGCCTGTATCACACTGCACAATATTCCCAACAAGTATACAAACGCAGACACCTCCCGCTATCTACCTCTCTTTGATTTACAAAAGGACAACAGGCATATTGGAAAGGAAAGCCACTGACAAAGCCCTCCACATCATATATATATGTTTTAAACTATTGATTTTTTGGAGAAGAGGCCCCTTTTTTCACCATGTAAACTATTCTAGTATCACTAGTGTTGGGAAAATCAGACTAGATAGAAAAGTGAATTTGGTTCAGTCTGGATATCCTGGAGCTCTCAAATTATATCATATGGGCACCTGTGTCCTCTATCTATGTCTCCAAATAGAAAATGCAATCACTCTCATAATCAACCAAATTACTCCATCATCTCTAACAGCAATAATATCTAACATCTGTTCTTTTCTCATAAATTTGATGCCAACTATGTGCCCTGATTTTATGAGGATCAAGTCACTAGTTATTACCCATTAGTATTTAATACCATAAATATAGAATTTGTATTTCAAAAAATTCAGTGATTGTCAATCTCTGCTTCAATGAAGGCATGAATCTAAGCATGGAACATCATCATTCAATTGCAAACTATTAGAATGTAAAGAGAGATGCACATATATATTTATGTTATATAGGCATATCACATGTTATCCTCTAAATTGTACTTGTGGCCTGATCCATACAAGTCTAGAGTATAAATATGTATTTTGTACCTAAAATAGTATTAACATTACAATAGAATTGTAAATAAATCACAAAATTCATACCAGTCATTGCTATCATTGTTTCTAATGGCATTTTTTCATAAACAAGGATGTAGGTTAATATTTTAAAAACATAAGTGGTGACTTTCACAGAATTGCTTCCTTTTATAATTATCTCATGAACATAGGGACCCAATTAGATACCAAAAAATTGAGAGAGAGAAAATGAAGGAAGAAAGGAAGAGAAGGAGGAAGGCAGATAATATAGAATAATTCTCTTTTGTATATGCCAAGAGCTAGATTTGAACCCTGAAACAACATTTATCTTGCCTTCCAAAAGTTTCAATGTCCTTTCTTCAGTTCATTTTGACCTATAAGTTAGTTTTCTCACACCAAATGCTACCAGCAAGTTGCAGGTTGGTGTGAATCCTCACATCACATCATTTAATCCTGCAAGGCTGAGTTTTTGCACATGGTACTTCTTTTGAATCCAGTAGGCAGTGAGTGATGGTAGGGGGTGCCAGTGGCATTCTTTTTCGTAAGACCACTGAAGCACAAACCTTTCTTTGATCTGGGACAATCCTCTGTGAATGGCATCATCATTCTCAAAGCTGGTGGCTTTAACACTGAATGCTTATATGCTTGCAATGCAATGGTAACCATTATATTATAATCTCACATTTAAATGTTTTCTAAGAAGTCCCAAACCAATCTGTATGCAAACCAATGACATCTAAGTAATAAGCCCTTTATCTAGGAGTGTTATCTTCTCATTTTTAGCTGAATTGTGATCTATATCACAAACTAAATAATGAATTTTTAAATGGTATCTTTAAAAGGATACCCAAATATTCCATCACTCAGATATATCTCTAAAAAGAGAAAATGCCTCTTTCTTTCTTACCTCTCAGTGACAATGCATTATAAGGCACTTTAAGCTTACAGCTGGTTGGTTCAGTGTACTCATACTATGATGTTAATGAGGCCAAGGTCATGGAAGCCAGTTAGCTTTCTTTGCTGTGTGCTGATCACAGACTACCAGGAGTCAGTCAAGAGTCACCAGCACATATGGAAAAGGTATCATGGCAAAATGTCGGCACTTCTCAAAGTCCATCCTCCTATGAGACAGTCAGAATGTGTTCCTTTCACATCATCATTAGGGAAGAAATGAGTAGTAGTTTGAGAGGCCCCCACATTTACCTCTGAACAAAGCAGGCCAGATATTTAGGCATTAACTTTGCATCATAATCCCCCATCATACCATTGATTTGCTGTGTAACCTTCTTCACTAAAGTAGAGATAATAGGATAGAATGAAATGGGCTTACCTCCAGGGATTGTTGTGTGAATTAGCAATTTAAGAAGTATAAAGTGTTAGAGTTTATGTATGTGCTGGTGGTTGTCATTATTTTTATGGACCTAGTCTTATTCTAAATAGAGAATCTAAGTATATTATGCTTTTGTCAGAAAGAGATTTTCACCCACATTAATTGCATTTAAGCTGAGCATAAAACAGGTGACAATAACATAGTAGTGATCGTCTCAATGCAGAGCTGTAAACCTTTTTCCTATTAAAGTTAAAACTATTTCCAGCAACTTTCAATGCTTTAAAATGTAGCTTTCCAAGCTTTGTGCCAACAGTTATCTCTACAGTGATTATTCTTCCTGTGACGGGTGAGGGGAATGGGACCAATTCATTATTCATTTCCCATAATGACTATATAATGTATTGAATTTGTTTACATCATGCAATCAGGCAAAGACTTAGTAGCTGGTTTGATTGCCACATATTGCAATCATTGTAAAAAATAAAAAAAATAACCGTTTTTGTTCTGCCCACACCGGTGTCCTCTAGAGGTAGCCAACATATAGATAGAAAACTCATGGGAAGTTTAAGTGCTTTCCAACAAAAGGCACTGCACATAGATCCTTTCAATTTAACATCTTTACCAAGGAATTTTGTTGTCGCCAGCTATTTCCAAGGGGATTGTACTTGAGGAAATCCTTCCGTTTCTTTTATCACTCTGACTTCACTTACCAAGGAAAGTCATTTAGTGCTGATTGCAGAACCCTTGAACTCAGCCTGGCAGCTGCAGTGTGAACTCCTCAGATCTGGGTTCCTTGTTACTTATTTACATATTCATTTGAAGTGATTTTTCAGGACTATTTGTAGCCCTCTTTTGACCTGACATCCTGTAATAGCTGAGATCTAAAGCTCACCGTGTTTTTGGTTCTTTTCCTCTTTCTGTTACAGATAACAGACGAGTACCTTTGGAAAGGTCACGCTCTCGCCACAATGGAGCTAGCTCATCTAAGTGATTCCTGATGCCAAAGAATATAAAAATATTTAAGTAAACAAAATCAAGCATTTTGAGAACAAAACATGCACTCAAGGGATGGAGAGGAAATAAGTGCATTTCTGCAAAGATCAAGCTAAGCCAGATGAAACAGCCTGCATTTGTAAAGCTATTGCAAGACTCCTCTCACAATTCTACTATGAACACAATTACCAGGATTATAAAATGTGTGCTCCATTTTAATGTAGAGATGCATATTTTTTCTTATTGTGAGTGACCTGATGATGATGATGAAAAGTGTAAGAAATTGAAGAGTTCTAAGGCTTTCGAAAACATTCATTCTGTCAGAAATTTACTATGTTACTCAAATTTGCAGTCCACGTCCCTAAAAAAGAAACAAGAAAAATAATAGAATTATTCAGTGTCTGCTTTGATTCCTGTTGAACAGAAAAGGAAAAGACCAATGAAAATGTGTGTATTAACTCTGTAAGAGAAGCCATTTTAGAATCTCAGAAAAAGTACTGCTTCACTGCCATCAAGTTATTTAGAATCTTATCTCAAGTCAGAGCTGATGGATTTTCATCTGCTTTGGCTGAAATTAAATTTATCATTAAGCTAGCATTTTCAGCATGATATTGCAGGCACTTATCATTGCTAAAAATAAACCAAAGTTTAATGGAAGCAGTTAGAGAAAGTGATCAAAACTTTATTGAAAGGAGTATTTTCTAATTATGCACATATATCTACTTTATACAAATACTTTAAATGGCTATTTTTGAGAAAAACCTCACATTTTAATGTTTATGCTAGGGATGAACCTGAAAATTCTATTACCTTTATTTAGATTTTTAAGGGTAAATATTGAGTCCTAATCTCTGTGGTTTATTTCTTCTATTTTTCTTTCTCCCATGACCCTCTTGACAGCAGGGAATAGAGTTCTAGAAGACCTGAGAAGAAAAAGATTTCTCTCTGCAGGAGGCAGCAGAAAAATAAAAGGTCAATTGTTTCATGTTTTTCTACTCCCCTTTCCAACTCTGCCTCGGTGGTCTGGAGAAGAAAAAGAAATTATACGTGTGTAGGTGTACGTATGTGTATATATTTATAGCTCCTGCTACAATAATTCCACATCTCAGTGACTAAGTGAACTTCTCAGTCATCATCATACTTACTTACCTTATATTAACAAATTAAAATGATGCTGCCATAAACAACTCCAGGAGAAAAATAGGCCCTACATTGTTCTTAAATCAATGAGGGAGTAAGAGTTATACTTAACTTGTCTATTGTTTTCAAATATGCATTGAAATAATGTGGTATAACTTCTCTGGAGTGCAATTTTAAAACTAATCCATGCAGGTGATTGCGATTCTTGTAAAAGATTTCTTATACGTATATATCTTAGAGAATCTTATTTCTACTCCTCCAAAGCACATTCTAGACATTCAGCAAGAACAGACTGGCTTGGCAAGTCACCACTTGAGATAAAGTAAACAAGTGACCAATAGCTCAGAGTTTCTTTTATATAGATGTATAATGACTCAAACTGCTGCCTTTTCCTCCAGTGCACTCTTACTTGGGTGTTATACTTTAAAAAGCTATGAAGCTGCTACAGTAGAGAAATCAAAAAGAATAATAGTATCTGAGATTTTACAGTTTTTTTCTCATCTTAAGATGCACATAGGCATACACAGACAATTTTAAGAGACATATCAATATCACACTGTTTTTTAACAAAGATTTAGGTTCTACTAATTTATATAAATACTTAATGTGTGTATTTTGGACTTCACAAAGTCTTTTCTGAAATATTCATGGTATGGTTTTAGTATTTTGATAGATTTTTAGGCTATAGGAAAATGACATTATAAAATATTAACCTTGACTAAAATTTAGGGGCATTTGCCATGCCATATTATCAAGCTGGTTAAGGTGGAAACACTGATGTGTATCACCTTTTCCAGATGTGAACTTGCCTTATTTTTTAGTTTGTGGGGGAAAAATGAAGTACTATTGTGGATAAATTTATATTTCTATTTAGAGTAACCCCACATGCTTTTCACAAACATTATGAAGCCTTTTCAGGGTCTTTCATGAAGTTTCAGTAATTGAGTTCAGGGGATTGCTTCCCAGATTTAGAATGGTCCTGCTCTAGCCATTTGCAGTTTTGTTTTACGTAGAAGAATATCACCCAAAAATAAGTACATAGTCACAATTTTAATATAGGAGCAAATTATACTAATGTCTTTTGTTGGGTTTATTACTACCACATGTGAGAAGTACCAATTTATGAAGATTTTCTTCAGAATGTTTTTTTGCAAGTACAAAACCCTTAAATTGTTTACTAATTAAATTAGTTTCCTTTAACTGCTATAACAAATTACCACAAACTCCGAAATTTACTCTCTCAAGGTCCTGGTGGCTAGATATTCAAAACCAAGGGCCATGCTTTCTCCAGAGGTTCTAGAGGAAAATCTTCCCTTACCTCTTTCATCTTCTGGTGGCCGTTGGCATTCCTTGAGTTATGGTTGCATCTCTCTTCACATTATCTTCTCTGCCTCTCATAAGAACACATTTACGTTGGCATCTAGGGCTCACCCAGAGAATCCAGGATAATTTCATCTGAAGATCCTAAATTGAATTACATCTGCAAGACTCTTTTTTTTCCAAATAAGGTAACATTCACAAGTTCTGGGGATTAGGGTGTGGATATCTCTTTTTTGGCCCACTACAGTCTGTCTTCTGGCCCCCCAAAATTTAGGTCTGTCCCATGTGCAAGATATCTTCACTTCATCTCAACATTCCCAAAAGTCTCAACTCATTACAGTATCAACTCTAAGTCTAGAATCTTATTCAAACATCATCAGTTCAAAAGTCTGACATCTTATCTAGATCATCTAAATCAGGTATAGGTAAAATTCCTGGGGCAAAATTCCTCTCCATCTATGGATCAATGAAACAAGACAGCAAATCATCTGCTTCCAAAATACAATGGTGGGACAGGTACTGAATTATAATTATAGACATTCCTATTCCAAAAAGGAGAAGATGGAAAGCATCTATCCCGATGATTTTCAAAATTCATACAGCAAAATCCCCTTAGGATTTGAGGTCTGACAATAATCCTTCTTGTCTCAGGGCTCCGCTCTTTAGGCCTGTAGTTCTGCCCTTTTGGCCCATGGATTGAGTCTCTCCCTCTCTGCTAATGGCTTGCACTTCTGTATCTGCTCCCATGCTTGGGCCTATGCCACTGTATCTGTAGCTCTGCCCTAGGAGTGAACCTTTATATTGAAGGATAGCACATGTATGCAATTTTATCAGCCCGTTCCCTGTCTGTAAAATTTTGGCAGTATGACAACTTTCTCTCACTTTGTCTCTGTCCCTTTCAGGCCAACCTGGAAGTATTTCTGCTGGTATAACATTCTCAAAAACTCTTTGGGCTTATCACATATGTCACATTGATTCAATAGTGAGACAAGAGAGTCCTCACAGATCTTTGCTGGATAACCTCATCTCTATTCTGGCTTCTGAGATGGTTGAGCAGATCCATTAATCAACACCTAATCTCTCCAACACTAGCCAAAGATTGTCCAGCCACACCCTTGGCTTTATCTCCAGAGCATACTATCCAAATAGTGAGTCTCTAATTTTAGCCTCTTTTATAATCTGAATAGGCTCAAAATTTCCTGAATCATGAAATGTTGGTTCCTTGCTGCTTAACAGTTCTTTCCTCAATTTCTCTCTTTCCTCTTGTATTTTACTGTAAGCTCAAGAAGAAACTCGGCCATATCATCAATACTTTGCTTGGAAATCTCAGCTAAATATAGCCAAGTTTATCACTTACAAATTCTACTTTCCATACAACTGTTGGAGACAATTCAGATAACCCTTCTGCCACTATATAACAAGGATCACTTTTCCTCCAGTTTCCAATAAAATGTACCTCAGTTCCTTCTAAACCCTTATCAGAAGTACCTTTAACAAACAGTCTATTTAAGGCAATCTATGCTTTCTCTATCATATGCAGCAAAATTCTTCTAGCCTCTACCCATTACCCACCTCCAAGGCCAATTCCATACTTCTAGGTATTTGATATTAGCAGGACCTTACTTCCTGGTACCAAAATCTGTATTAGGTTCCTTTGGCTGCTGTAACAGATTACTCCAAATGTTGTAGCTTAAAACAACAGATATTCTCTTACTGTTTTGGAGGCCAGAAGTCCTAAACTGAGGTGTTGGCAAGGCTACACTCCCTCTGGAAGCTTTAGAGGGAAATCTGCTCCCAACCTCTTCCAGTTTCTTGTGACTCATCATTCCTTGGCTTGTGGCCAACTTTCTCTCTGCTCTACACATCACCTTTCCCTTTGTATATCTAATCTACCTCTGCTTCCCTCTTATAAGGACACTTTTGATGGCATTTAGGGCCCAGCCAGTTTATCCATAATAATCTCCTTATCTTGAGATCCCTGAATTACATCTGTGAAGATCCTTTTTCCAAATAAGGTAACATCACAGGTTCTGGGAATTAGGACATTGACATACCTTTGGGGAGCTACCATTCAGCTCACTGCACTAGTCATTGCACATAATTGTACTTCTCACTTTTTAAAATGCATCCTTGGTGCTCAAGTCAAATTCAAGGTTGTCCCTAAAAGCTATTGTCTGCACAGGCTACTGCATGCTTTGATGTTAAATAGCTGAACAGGCTATTCTAAAATTTGGTTGATACTTTTGCCATTATGGCCAATTAACTTGAAAAAATAACTGGTTCCAATTCTGAGCTCTGGTGTATCTCTTCTGCCCCTTTTATGAAATCTTTTACCAAATGACTTATATGATTCATAACATAGGCATAAAACTACTTCTGATGCAAAAGGGTTCTTTACATATTTATTGTAGATATTGTGACTCCCTCAGCTGAAGGGAGAGGTAACAGCAAAGCCTGTTTTGAATGTGTATTGAGGGAGATTGTGCCCATACCAAGACACCCAGAAGTATTTCAGTAGCAACACAACTGTAGATTCATGCTCTCATTTTGCCTTGGGAATAAACATCTTTCTCTTCACAGGACCAAGAATGACTTGCAATCTATATGTAATGCATACTTACTTATTCAATAAAGTTAAGATATACATTAAATGTTGTGCTGCCTATGATATTTGATATTAAGGATGAATGAAAAGGCACAGACTGAAGTATCAAGACAAGATGTAAGCATGTTCTAGAAGGAGAAGCTTCAACTGAACACAAGTATAAGAGTGTTTCTATAAGGACCTGGTCAGGTGGAAATCATGGGATGTATTCAAAGACGCACATATCTGTGGAAATTATGAGCTTTTCTTGAAGTAGTTTTCAGCAGTGCTTTTCTGAGCAGTGGAAAGATGTTTGCACAACTTAAAAATCCAGGTGGGTCAGAAGGGTGATTTACATCCTCCAGAGAAACTTTCTATTGAAAAAGTTATTTTTTTCCTCTTGATTATAGAATAAAAGCAAATGGACTTCAAAAATGCTCAGAATGAGTAATAAAGGATTATAGATAATTTTTCTCTGAAGGGCTTTCAAAAGAGTCTTTCATCATAGGTGGGCCAACTTGAAGACAGAGGGCTGGACAAGGTCATAACCAGGTCTATAAACAATATTATCCAAAGTACCCAGCAAGATCACCATTTCCCTTGGAATGGTTTGCTCCAGGAAACAAATACATTGGCTTTTTCTCCCTCAGAGACCCAAGTACACAAATTCCTTAGTAGGGAGTCTGAGAAACAGTACTGACAACTAGGGAGTTGAGCTTAATACCAAGAGCTCGAATGAAAGTGGAAATCTGGAAATTGATACATATGCAATGCATGTAACATGCTGTATAGTTTTGATTTATAATACAAAGAAAGCTATAACCAAAGATCACATTTACAGACTGAATTTATTTAGATATCTAGAGTCCCAATAGCCACAAATAAAATATTATTACAGTTAGTATCCATTGCAGAGAAAGAGAGAGAAAAAAACAAAACTACTTGCAAATTCAGGAATTATGCAAACCATGACTTTGTTCCTAGTTCTTGGAAACTGGCCGGAGTTCAACTTTTAGCCATGATGACCTTATATCGTGGCTAATAGAGGTTCAGCCAATATTTTCATCGATATTTTGGCTAAATGAGATCCAGGCAGCATTTTCAACTTTTGAAGTCTATGAGCAAAGCACAGAGCTATTATCATATGATTAAAATAGTGATAACCCCTCAACTCCTCTACTTTGTTAAGCCCTCCAGTGTGGCTATTCTAATCATTGAGTGCCCACTCAATGGACAATGTTTTTTAGGACACAATTATGAATTAAACATAGCTAATGCCTTGAGGGCTGTCACAGTCTATAGAGAGATGGCACAGGTACAAAAAGCATTGTAATTCAAGGTGATAGGAAAATGATCAATGTCATAAGAGTGGTATAGATAAGGCCTCTGGGAGTTCAGAAAATAAAATCCCTTAGAGAGATGAGGTAGGTGTTAAGGTGGGAAGCAGCTATCAGTATAGACTTTTTGGCAGGGGTGGCATTTGAACCGCAATTTAAAGGGTAAGTTGACTTAGAAGTGACTTTTATTCATTCAGTCAATATTCAGTGAGCACCTGCTGTATGCCAACCACAGTACTAGGCCCTGAGAGCATAACAGTAACCCAGATAGCTGGATGTGCTCCCTATTCTCATGGAGCTTAGGTCTTTTTGAAGAGGAAGGGAAGGCATGAACAGAGATACAAACTTTGATATGCATGTGCAAGGAATAGAACAGTTTAACTGGAGTATGTGTCAGGAAAGGCAGTAGTAGTTGTGTGGTTCAGGTTTGAATTATAAAGGGCAGGGAAATACTGAGGTATTTTTGAGGAAAGAAATGATACAGAGCACTTAACAAAGTTGATGCCGGAAGCTCTGTGTAGGGCAGAGTGGGGAGAGGTCACACAAGACCTTCTCCATTGGGGGCTGTTGATAATGAGGGCCTAAACTAAGGTAGCATCAGTGGGACAGATCCAAGTGGCATCTAACGAAATAGCAATCAATTAGAAGTTGAGGGTATGAAGAGATGGAGGATCCAATCTGACACCAAGATTGCAGACCCAAGTGATTGATGGGATCCTTTTAACAGAAAAATTGAACACAAAAAGGAGAGCTCATTTTTGCAGTAGTGATACCATGGATATGCACAGCTTTAGCTCTGACGGTTGGTACAAGCCTATTAACTGTACTGTTGAATCGTTCATACAAGCTGTATATACAAAGAGCATCAAGTCATAAAGACATAGAGCAGATGAGAACATGATTCTGCACAAGAACTATTCAGTGATATTATAGTGATTATGGTAATAAAAGCAAGGGGAAGTTCTCTAGATTGCATTTATTTTCCCTTTCCTTCTTATTCCTTTTTTCTTTCCCTTTCCCATTCCCTTCTCTTCTCTTTTTAGTAATTCTGAAAGGCAAAACACTGAAAGGCTGTTTAAAGAAACAAAAAACTGACAAAGACTGAGTGGATATTAAAATATACTGATTCAGGTTTGGTCTCATAATGACAGGAAAGGCATTTAAATGAAGAATAATTTATGGCAAAAGTTTTAATTAGTTCATAGCTAGGACTTCTTAAGTGTCTGATTAAATTATATATATATATATTTAGGCGAGGCAACCCTTGGTTGACCTCACAGATGCAAGGAACTTTGTATAACTTCTATGAGTATTTTCATGGTTACTTTGAGGCTTATATAAAATATTTATATTTCTGGCAGTCTATTTTAAGTTGATACCAACAAGTTCAATCACATATAAAAACTCTACACTTTTACTTCTCTGCACACACACACTTTGTTGTTGTCACAATTTACATTTCATATTATGTATTTTTAACATATTTCAGGTTTGTTTTTTTTTTTTAGGTGAGGCAACACTTAGTTGACCTCACAGATTACAAGGACCTTCGTCAGCATACAATCCCTTATATTTATTTTTATGCCTACAGCACCTAGTCTCCCATCAAGTACTAACCAGGCCCGACTCTGCTTAGCTTCTGAGATCAGACAGGATCGGGCTTGTTCAGGTCTGGTTAATATTTTAAGAGGTCCTTGAACAATTATTACTTTAGAAGAACAGCAAATTTTCCTGTTTTACTTTTTTCCATGGAATCTCTCAGACTTCTAAACTGTGCCCAAGTCTATTCCCTTTATGCTAAATACTTTTCTACTCAAAGAACCACAAAGCTTCTCTTCTCCATACATTCAATTGCTGGCTACATATGACATTGAATAGCTTTGTTTTAGCTCCTATTATTTTGTTTTGAGAGAGGAACTGGTATATGAATTGATCCATCTTCCCCAACCCCCGCTCCCTGCAAATACCTTTTGTTATTGTCCCTCCGCTTTCCCAAATATTAAAATGGGAGTTAAGTTAAAGATACCTAAATACTATGAATCTTCTCTTTGAGTAGTTTTTGTAAACTCATGACATGTAATAGCAGAGTGGTCTATAATAGCTGACAAAAATCAAGTAAGGAAGTGTTTTACCTGCCTGAACAACTGGTAGCACTTATGTTGGTGCTTGGGGGAGGGAGGAAAGGACAGTGAAAGGGGTCATGAATAAGGCTCCTTAGCAGAATTCAGTATAATGATAAAAATGAAAGTGCCTTTTAGATGCCAATGACCTTTTGACTCCAGAGCATCTGGGATAAAAAGCTGACTTTCAATGACCTTATATTGTATGGTGCTTTGTGCTTTTAAAAGAACTTTTACTTTTCATATCTGTTATTCCATTCCATCATCTCATTTTCTCTCAGTCTACAAGCATCCTCAAGTCTCCTCCATCCAATTAAAGAACGGCAAACTTCCATGGATCTCTTTCAAGGCTGCCATTGACCATCTACTTGCCAAATCCTATGATTTCCTCTTAATCCTCATCCTGTTTTCTCCCACTCTTCCACAGATACACCCAGCCCTGTCTTTTCCCATAACTCAGAAAATTCCTCAGTCCCCTTTATCACTGGTTGTCCTCACATGACCCCTAAATTTAGGCAGACTCCCCAGTGTTCATTTGTATTCTTTCCACCATCATCTTAGCCATTTCCATGGCTTTGACAATTTCCCACCAGCACATGACTGAGATCTCTCCTGAACCCCAGAATCACCTTCTTTCCGTAAAGAATAGCTCACAAAACTAAACTCAGTATATTCCCAAACAAATATGTTCTCCAACAAACTGAAGCTTTTATCCAGGTTGTCCATCTCATTCTGGGCACTACATTTTTCTCAGTCTCTAAGGCTAAAAATGCCAGATGTGCCTTGTATTATTCCCTGTCCTCTAATATCCAGACAGGCACAGAAGTTAGTCTCCCTGTTTCAGTACTTTACCCTCTTCAACCCATCTTTCACACTGCTAGAAATTGCCTCCTAAAAGGCCTTTCGTGGCTCTCTTTGAAAACTTTTGATTGTTCCCTTTAATTAACAAAACTGGTATGAGCTTCAAAGGTCCCAGAAGCAGACTCAAATATAACTTTCAAGTTTCTTCACCATCTCTTCATCCATGCTGTCCCAGATTTATCATTGCAACTTGCCAGTGATAAACAAACATATGATTACATCCTCAAACATGTACATACCTCTCATGCCACTTTATGTACATGCAGTTAAGTCTGGTATGACCTCACCACCCAACTTTACCCTTTCTCTCCTATTAATCCTTCGAGGACCCATGTTGCCTTTCTGAAGCCTTAATTCTCCTTCCTTCATTAAAATAAATTGTGTTATCTATGCTCCCACAGCAATTGTTCATACTTCTATTATGGCCCCTATTTCATTCTGCCTTCTACTAGAGTTAGTTGTCTGTGTCCTTGACTAAAGTGTAAGTTTCTTAGTGGCAATGACTTGCCTCATTCATCTCTGGCCCTTTACACAAAGCAATTGCTCAATGAATTAATGTGTAGTGTCAACTCTAGGTGAATTAAGCAAATGAAAAGGAATGTTTGGTACATGTAATGGAAAATCATAGCTAATTTCTTCATCCAGGTGAGAACATACCTTCATCATTGTCCTAGAAACTGAGGGCCTGCTGAAGGTCAGCGTTGAGGACAAGCTCCCCCAATTGTGAATGACTAGAAGCTGATTTCAGA